TCCACCCTTTCCATCTGACCCTTGCTTAGCAGGTCTCATCAGGACTGGCTGTATTGTCCTTCTCTGTGGCCTGGCAAGACTGTTCCACCCTCAGGGGGAGGTGATCAAAGAGCCAGCCACTGAGTTCATGTCAGAGACAGCCCCTGTTCCCCTTACTAGGGTACCACCTAGATACTCAGCTGCCATGCGCTGTATCTGAGCAGGGGCTCTAGGTTATTTCCATAAATCGTCCTTGATAGGAGTATCAGTCTCAGAAAAGACCCTTGTGTAAAGATTGTTTGGTTTTATTTCTTTCCTTGTGGAGCTCCTGTTCCCACTTCTTTCATATAGTTCCCAGCACTCTACTCTAAGTTTGGTTATGAGTCTCTGCATCTGCTTTCATACACTACTAGGTAGACTCTTTCAGAGGCCCTCTATAGTAGGATCTTGTCCTGCTTCTTGTTTTCTCCTTCTTCCATTTTCCGTCCCATTTGTCTTTCTGAGTGAGGATTGATCATCTTACCCAGGGTCCTCCTTCTTGTTTAGCTTCTTTAGGTGTACAGATTTTAGTATGTTTATCCTATATTATATGTCTAATATCCACTTATAAGGGAGTATATACTGTGTGTGTCTTTCTGCTTCTGGAATACCTCAATCAGGATGATCTTTTCTGGATCCCACCATTTGCCTGCAAATTTCATGATTTCCTTGTTTTTAATTGCTGAGTAATATTCCATTGTGTAAATGTACCACAATTTCTGTATCCATTCCTCTGTTGAGGGACATCTGGGTTGTTTCCAGGCTCTGGCTATTATGAATAAAGCTGCTCTGAACATGGTTGAACAAATGTCCTTGTTGTGTACTTGCTCGTATTTTGGATATATGCCTAGGAGTGGTATAGGTGGATCTTGAGGAATCACTATTCCTAATTGTCTGAGAAAGTGCCAGATTGATTTCCAAAGTGGTTGTACAAGTTTACATCCCCACCAGCAATGGAGGAGGGTTCCCCTTTCTCCACAACCTCTCCAGCATGTGTTGTCACTTGAGTTTTTCATCTTAGCCATTCTGATGGGTGTAAGGTGAAATCTCAGGGTTGTTTTAATTTGCATCTCCCTGATGGCTAAGGATGTTGAGCATCTCTTTAAGTGTTTCTCTGCCATTCTATAATTCTCTACAGAGAATTCTGCATTTAACTCTGTACCCTATTTTTTAAATTGTATTACTTGATTTCTTGTTTTTTAACTTCTTGAGTTCTTTATATATTCTGGATATTAGTCCTCTGTCAGATAAATGGTTGGTGAAGATCCTTTCTCAGTCTCTAGGCTGTCATTTTGTTCTGACAACAATGTCCTTTGCTTTACAGAAGCTTTTCAGTTTCATGATGTTCCACTTATTGATTGCTGATATTAGAGCCTGTTCTATTGGTGTTCTGTTCAGGAAGTTGTCTCCTGTGCCAATGAGTTCTAGGCTCTTCCCCACTTTTTCTTCTAACAGGTTTAGTGTGTCTGGTGTTATGTTGAGGTCTTTGATCCACTTGGACTTTAATTTTGTGTAGGGTGGTAAATGTGGATCTATTTTCATTTTTCTACATGTAGACATCCAGTTAGACCAGCACCATTTGTTGAAGATGCTATCTTTTTTCCATTGTATGGTTTTGGCTTCTTAGTTGAAAAGCAAGTATCTATAGGTGTGTGGGTTTATTTCTGGGTCTTCTATTTGGTTCCATTGATCCACCATTCTGTTCCTATGCCAGTACCATGCATTTTTATTACTATTGCTCTGTAGTGCAGCTTGAAGTCAGGGATAGTAACAACTTCAGGTAATCTGTTGTTGTACCGGATAGTTTTGGCAATTCAGGGTTTTTTGCTTTTCTGTATAAAGTTAAGATTTTTTTTTTCTTTCAAGATCTGTAAAGAATTGTGTTGGTATTTTAATGGGAATTACATTTAATCTGTAGATTGCTTTTGTCAGGATGGCCATTTTCACTATATTAGTCCTACTGTTCCTTGAACATGGGAGATCTATCCATCTTCTGATATCTTCTTCAATTACTGTTTTTTAGAGACTTACAGTTTTTTTTTTTTGAACATGTCTTTTACTTGTTTGGTTAGAGTCACACCAAGCTACTTTATGTTATTAGTGGCTATTGTAAAGGCTGTTGTTTCCTTAATTTCTTTCTCTGCCATTTTGTCTGGTCATTGTTATAATTCACATGCTATTTTAATATCATTTTTTCTTAGCTTATTGCTCTAGCTAAGAATTTAAGCACTGTATTAGTAAAAGTAATGAGAGTGGAAATCTTTGGCAAGTTTATTATTTTATGGGAGATATATTTTGGTTTTCTCCATTTACTGTAAATATTGGCTATTTTAATCTTACATATTGTTATATATTCATTAATTCTTTGATAATTTCATGACATGATTTTGATCATAATTATTCTGAAATCCTCCCCTTACATTCTAAATTAATTAAATTCACCCATACCATCGTGTCTCTCATAAAATCACAACTGAAGTACAGAGAATTAGTGACTTTGGAATGTTCAGCCACAAATGGGACATTTTATCATATTCCTCCCCATGTCTCAGAGGTTATAACTAAAAAGGTAATGAAACATGGTTAGAGCCAGAAGTCAAAAGGGATGGAGCAAACAGGAGTGTGTTCTGTACAATACCAGGACAACTGCACTCGTCAATTCATAGCAGCTGTGGTTGTCTAAGCAGTGACTGTGCGAGCTCAAACCAGACATCAGCGTCTATTTTTAAAAATGCTGATTTTCTCATAACATCTGACATTTTCTCACTGTAGAAAACACATTTAAGAAGTTGTCTGCACAGGAGCTCCACAAGGAGAGCAACAGAACCAAAAAATCTGGACACAGGGGTCTTTTCTGAAACAGAAACTCAAACCAAGAACTATTCATGGCGATAACCTAGAACCCTGCACAGATGTAGCCCATGGCAGCCCACTCTCCAAATGGGCTCCCTAGTAAGGAAAACAGGGGCTGTCTCTGACATGAACTCAGTGGCTGGTTCTTTGATCACTTCCCCCTGAGGGTGGAACAGGCCACAGAGGAAGACAAAACAGCCAGTCCTGATGAGACCTGATAGACTAGGGTCAGATGGAAGGGGAGGTGGACCTTCCCTATCAGTGGACCAGGGGAGGGGCATAGGAGAAGAGGGAAGGAGTGTGAGGTTGGGAGGGGACGAGGGACGGAGCTACAGCTGGGATACAAAGTGAATAAACTGTAATAGATAAATAAATAAATTTTAAAAAGAAGTTGTTTGCATATTTGTAAATATTTGCTTATCTGATCAGTGAGGAGAACCTAAAATAGGAAGGGACATTTCCATGGATGGGTTATGACTAAAAGCCCATGTTAAAATTCACCTTGATTACAACTTTATTTGAAGTATCTTAAATTGACATGAATTGCTTATTAATTATCCATTAACTTTCATGATACTCAGTGAGTGATTGGAAATCCAGTGTTTTATTCTTACCTCTATTCAAATCACTCTTTTGTGTTTTATATTATTTCAGTTATCATCAAAACAGAGGTTTATTAAAGCAGTTTATATATATATATATATAATGTAATATGATGTGATTATATATAACATAATTATATATTATATAATAATTATATCAATTAAAAATATACATACAATTATATATTATATATTATGCAAATAACAATGCACTCTTCCTGACGTTTTGTTCTCCTCTGCTATCTGCTGTGTGACAGTTTGCTGCTTAGATTTTACCTTGCATGTCTTTCAAGTCCTTTTCATCATTGGTTATAACTGAGAAACTCAGATAATGCAGCACGGAATATATACTTTAAAATAGGCACCGCCTAGTGTTTGGACTACTGTAATGGCTCTCATGTGTTTGACTTTCAAGCTATCTTCAAGCAATTGATTGTTTCCAAGACTTCTTTAAGCATAAGATTACATACAGCTAAGGAGACTAGTGTGAAATTGTTTCCATTTTTATGCCCTTAAAAAGACTCTTCTGCTAACTATGACAAAACAAACCATTTAACTGAATGGCTAAAGCACCTTTGAAATTTCAATTGGCAAGAACATGCGTAACCCTGGATAACTGATCCATTCCAGACACCAAAGACAGATTACTATGTGATCTCAAATGACTGTGTAATCTCTAACTGTTGAAGAAGAGAGTGGAGTTGTTCCCATGGGCTGAGAGCTGGAAGAAATGGGAAGATGTTAATGTTGGCCAAAGCGTAATAACATTGTTCTAAAGTGAGTAAGTTCTAAAGACCCAACGTATAAATGGTAAACGTAGTTAGCGGTGCTCTGATTTATAACTGAAACTTGCTAAAAGTGCAAATCTAAACTGTTATTACCACAAAAAACTAACGATACAAGGTAATAGATGGTCAGTTAAGCTCGTTGTGGTAATCATTTTACAATGCATGCATACTTCATACGAGCACATAGTCGATCTGCATATTTATACTTTTTAGTAGTAAATTAACCCCCAATGACACTGAGGATAATAAAAGATGGATTTCTATTAAACAGGAGAAAAACAGTGACACCTGAGACACATTCATAGCATGACTTGTGCTCAACTAGCACTGAAGTTTGAATTGTCATACACTGGCGAGAAGTCTCCCTCAGACACATTATCTATTTATGAATCAGTCTTTCATAAAGCAAATAAATAGTAACTAAATGCCTAATTCAGAAAAGATAATGAGCTTATAGTAAAAGATGCACATTGCAAAGAGACAAATACTTGTGCTATAAAGATTACATCTGTTTATGTAAATACTTCTATATCAAAAAAGTTACAAATCTTAACAGTGTTCTATGACATTTATTTCTTCTGATCTCTAGTAGAAGTAATATCTGCATACACCTGTAAAGGCACTAACTGTTTGCAGTCATATGCTCAGTTATAATAATGTCTACCTTATGAGTCTTAAGTAGTATGCAGACTAGAAACTGTAACTCACTCCATATTCTTATCCCCCAATGGGAGAGGATTTAGTGACCCCTGATATGCCCAATGCTTCCTCCACCAGACCGGAAGATGCGCAGAATCCTCAGTCGGATCTGGTTGGTCTTTATGGTATAAACGACTGGGTTGAGCACTGGAGGAGTGAGAAAGTGAAGATAGGAGAGCAGCACACGGCTGCATGGAGAAGCCCTCTTGCCAAACCGGTGGATCATGGAAAGGCCGATCATAGGTGTGTAGAAGAGCAGCACAGAACAGATGTGGGAGACACAAGTGTTGAGGGCTCTGAGGCGCTCGGTCTTGGAGGCAATTGACAACACTGTGTGGAGGATCAGCCCGTAGGAGAGAACAATGAGTACCGAGTCCACACCCAGGGTAGAGAGGACCACAAAAAGGCCATAGGCGCTGTTGATGTGGGTGTCAGTACAGGCCAGCTTCATAACATCCGGGTGCAGGCAGTAAGAGTGGGAAAGCTGGTCCCTCTGGCAGTAAGGCAGCCTCTTCAGCATGATGGGGGCAGGGATGTGGAGGCCAATGCTGCGGACCACAATGGCCAGGCCCAAGCTGGCGATCCGAGCGTTGGTGAGGATGGCGCCATAGTGTAGGGGACTGCTGATGGCCACAAAACGGTCAAAGGCCATGGTCAGCAGCACAGACGACTCCATGATGGAGAACGTGTGGATGAAGAAGAGCTGGGCCAGGCACACATCTAAGGCCACCTCCCTAACACCCAACATGTAGATGGCGAGCATGCTGGGCAGTGTGGAGGCAGACAGGCCCAGGTCAGTCACGGCCAGCATGGACAGAAAGAAGTACATAGGCTGGTGCAGGGAGGGCTCTGACCTCACAACCCACAGCATCAAGAAGTTGCCTGCCAGAGAGGCGGCGTACATGACGCACAGAGGAATGGAGAGCCAGACATACACGGCCTCGAGGCCAGGGAGGCCGGTCAGAAAGAAAGAGGCGCTCGAATGGTTGGAGTGGGACATGACAACTATTATGAGGGGCTCCAAGGTCACGTGTAATCGCAGGAACTTAGCCCGGGGAGTTTGTGTTGGACCTTCTGAGAACTGGTCTCACAGAATCTTCAAACGTTTCTCTCTCATCCAGACCTTCCGGATTATCTCAGCATTTCTTCTCGTTCATAATTAATGACCCCTTTTAAAAGGATGAATTTGCTTAATTGTTAGGAGAAAGTTTTTGTGCATAACAAGTCTCCATAGAGAACCATCTGAAGATATTTAATTCTTAAATTGGAATCTGGTATATGTCTCCAGAAATGTGCTAAAAGCATGCCGGTTCCAAGTCTGTCCTACACAGATTGGCAACTGGATCCGAGCTTCCTCCCAGCCCAGCCATTTTATCAGATCTGCTCTGAAGTTCGGGTTCCCCTTCCTGTCAATCTCATAACATTCCTCCCAGTTTCCAAAGAAACAACAAAAATGAGTTCTGTTACCTTTTTCTTCCACATAAGAAAACATACTGCTATAATTCACTACATATGTCTTTCTCTTAAAGCACTTTATGAAACTATTTTATATGACCTTTAAAAATATTTTCATTTTGTTTTATCTTATTTGCATAAATATTTTGAGAGTATGGATGTACAGCGTGTATGTTCCTGGTGCCTGCAAAGGTCAGAAGAGGGCATCGAGTCCTCTGTAGTATGTTTGTAAGTCACCATGTATGTGCTGTGACTAAAATCCTGGTCTTCTGCAGGAACAGCAAGTGCTCTAAACAACTGAGTCCCATCTGGGGATAGGGGAGTAGGAGATCGGGATGGATAACTTGGGTCGGGGGGAGGTGATGGAAGAATTATGGACGCTTTGTGTATGTGTGTATAAACCCAGTGCAGTGAAAACCTCCTGGAATCTATGAGGGTGACCCTAGTAAGGACGGCTAGGAATGGAAGATACAGCCTCTGAACTGGCCATCTTTTGCAGCCAGTCAAGGCCTTCAGTGGTGGACCTGGGTTACATTCAGTCGGGTTGTTGGACAAGGAGGTCATGTGACGATCCTTAAATAATACAGGCTGATGCTAGCACAGATCACTCTCTGAAAATGGATAGTGGACTCATATTGTTGAGGATAATTTCCACACAGCTTATTGAACTCACAAAGGTTGAACTGGTACTTATTGAGCCTTTAAGTTGGAGTTCTCTATTGAGAACCTCAGAGATCAGGGACCTCACAGAAGAGGGGAAGGGAAGGCTGTAAGGGTCAGAGGGGATGGAGACATGAGAGAACACGGCAGGCAGGGCTTACATAAGCTCAGAGACTGAAGCAGCCAGTGTGGCCTTACATGGGTTTGCACCAGGCCCCTTGTATACGTGTTATGGCTGTTAGCTTGGGGGTTTTGTGGGACTCCTAAGAGTGGTAACAGGTGTATCACTGACTCTGGTCTGCCCTTCGGACTCTTCCTCCTATTGAGTTGCCTTGCCCAGCCTGCATATGAGGGATTTTGCCTTGTCTTATTGTACCTTGTTTTGCACTGTTTGGTTCTTGGAGGCCTGCGTTTTTTTCTGAAGAGGAAACAGAGGGGGAGTGTATTTAAGGGAGAAGATTAGAGGGAAGAGAACCTGTGGCCAGGATGTATTGTATGAGAGAATAATTCATTTTCAATTTTAAAAAGAATTCAAGTCTATAATTTTGTCTCTTTGTCTATAAAAGGAGAATTCCAGACTGGAAACAATTCTGAATTAACTATTTGAATTATGAATAGTATGTTTAGTAGCTGAAGACAATCACCAAATTGTAATAAACATCCTGAAAATAGTCACCGAAATATTCTCATTAAATATTTTATTTTATTGCTAAATTATGTGAATATTTGCTTGGTTTAGTACTATATAAGCTGAAATTCTCATATAGTCTTGTTTGTGTTTTGTTGTTCTTTTTCTTTCATTTCTTGAATGGTTTTGCTCTTGTAACTTATCTTCTTGCCCCTCAATTAGATTATTATAATTTTATAAGTGAAACTATGTTGGGTTCTGTTTTAAGATGCAGAGATTAGAGCTATAACATGTTCAAATAATAAAGGGAAAGGAAGGATCATGATCAATACGATTTCCAATATGTGGAGAAAATAAAACAAAGGAGAGAGAGAAGTGTCCTACTAGATCAGAGGTTCTCAACATTCTCGTGCTGTGATTCTTTAATATAATTCCTCGGGTTGTGGTGACCCCAACCAAAAAGTTATTTTGCTGCTACTTCTTAACTATAATCTTTTACAGTTATGAATTGTAATGTAAATAGCTGATATGCAGATATCTGATATACAACCCCTGTGAAAGGGTAATTTGTTCCCCACAGGGTAAGAACCACCATACAAGACTGGGAATTTGAGGAATAAGAGGAAACATTCCATAGCGAGAGGATTCAGACCACCAAAATCAAATGACTCCCTTAAGAACACTCCGTGTCACCCAGCAGGAGAGGCCAGCTTCCTACTGCAGTAATGTGTACTTGTTTGCTCTAGAAATGGTGATATGGGATGAGTAGTTTTATAGTTTTAGTACAAATGAAACTTGTACATCATGCAGCAGTTTAGGTATCTTTTAATCCCCAGTGAGTCAGTGTTTTCTGGATCTAGGCCTTACCCTTGGTGTTTCAACATTGCCTTGAGTAGACTGTGTTGCATTCCAAAGTCTGAACTGCTGCCACAATTCTTCACCAGGTAAAGAATTGCAGTGTAGACAGCAATTGGTTGCAGTTGGCAAAGACCCACTAAAATAGATGTGAAAAAGAATCAGGGCACAACAAAGTTCAAAGGTGATTCCAGCAAGCACATTTGCCTATAAATTCAGATATCTTTAGTATTAATAAATAAACACCAAAATTATGATTATAATGCCAACAGTTTCCATAACATTTAATGGAAAAAGAAGAAAGTTTCCACTAAGGTAATTTATATGGCGGATAATCTCCCAGGCTGTTGGAAGTTGATGAAAATTGAAATTAGCACAAATATTTGAGAACCTTCACTGGGATGATCTGAGCATCCAAATGTTTCTGTGTCAGAATAATTCATATGCCCAGATTGATGTGTTTCTTTAAATCAGAGACAATATTTTTAATGAGTTGAAAAGGTCTCATTTGACCTATAAATCACAGTTACAAGGGTAAAACACAGTAAATGTCCTTGTAATATTTTCAGGATTTGTTTCTATTCTCTTTTGGAAAGAAATGACATGTGAAGTAGAAAGGGAGCAGACTGTTTCTGTATATATTAAACTCAGATCCTGCCTTGAAGAGAAATTGTGATTGTATATACTCATCCTTTGGTGTTTTAATTATTTACACCTACTTCGTTGAGTGTGAGGATTTAATAATAAGCAGAGGAATATTTTTGAAAATTCAGACCATCTGTTTCTGGTTGTAGCTTCAACACAAACATAACAGGAGAAATAGAAGTTGGATAAAAATAGCTAAACATAAAATTTTCTCTAAAAATGTCAAGAAGGTACTATGGGATCACTTGTTTGGACAGATTCTGCTTTTGCCTTGCTGGTAGAGTTTCAGTTAGTTGAGGTAGGATGGGAATAACAAAGTGAGAAATCCACATAGAAATTTCCAACACCAGTGTCTTTACAATTAGAATAAATCTTCTTACATCCATACCAGAATAAGAAAATCATAAAATAAAATGTGCTTGTCCAAAAATATTCTTCTGTATATTACATATCGATATACACATGTTTATATATTTGTATCAAATAGATTTAATCTTTGCACAAAAGAAAATTGGTGAATTGTATTACTTCATCTAGAACACACACACACATACAAACACACACGGAGAGTAAAAATTGCATAGCATCCCAAGTGTTTAGAAAGTAGTTAACTATTATTAATATTTGCTTAATGTCTCCTATTTCTCACCTTAAAATATACCAGGTGCCTTTCAAAGATAATTATTCAAAGATATGAAAAGAGCTGTGGTCAACAGGGCTCAGCATGGACTTATTCACTCAGGTCATACCTCTTTTACCTTCTATCTTAAAAGAAGAAAAAGAAGTTAAAGTATTTCCCAAATTAGCAGCGCAGCATGATGATTCTGTTCTTGAAAATGTCCGCAGTTCTAGCTCCGATGTGCTGAAGTGCAGAGAGTAAGAGTTCTGCATATTAGCACGCATGCACGCTATGGTTCACTGCAGGAATCGATGATACTGAGTTGTCAGTCTAACAATTTTGAATTTAAATGACTTTTTTTTGCTACAGAAAGACATTTTAAAAGTCATTAAGAAACCTACCCATCAGATTCATGATGTCTGAAGCAAAAGAGACTTTTTAAAAATATATTCTAAATAGTCAGTGACTTTACTTCATGATCTTAGTTCAAATGTTTTAGCATTGTTGTTAATCTCAGCAGATGGATTTAGCCCTTTGTTTTTTTCAAAATTCACATTATTTACCCAAAGGGAAACAAGGATGGAGAACATGTCTCTTGCTCCTCATGAGTCCAATGGCAGGAAGTGTTCAGGGAAGAATAATTTTACAGCAAATTAGCCAATACCCAAGTTGTCCCCTGATGTACACAACAGGGACCATGGGTTTGGTGGCAGCCAGTGGCTTTAATTACGCCATTTAAAACAGGTTTCACAGGTGCTAAGGAGACCCTGTTGTGATTGTTAGTGGGTCTTCAACAATCTGAGTCTTTATCGCAGCTGGAGACTCCTTAAGTAATAACTATGATTCTATGATTTACTAATGATATTCAAATACATAAATATATATGAAAACAATTTCTAAATTCTTTAAATGGCTCATTAAACAGCTACTCAATTAGCATCAAGTCTAAGCAATAAAATATTCTATCATGTACTATAAATAATAAAAGTTCCATAAAATGAAGGATATCTAAATTTTAAAATATAGCTCTCAAGTTGGACAGAAAGTAGAAAATGAGCCAGTGTACTAGGCACAGAAGGAAGATAACTCATGCTGTTCTCCTCTTAGAAAGCTTTGTGAAGCAATATGTTCACAATAT